ATAGTCCCTCTACTTCAAAAAGTAAATATACTCAACCCTATAACATGTGTACTCTGGTTGTCGTTGGCATTAATCTTGTTACTCAGAACAAGTCACATCTGACCAATCACAATCGAGTATTAATTACAGCTGGGAGGATCGTAAGAAAGCCTGGTAATGAAGACTGTGTAAAACATGGATGTTGTCATGGTGACATCCCCCTCTGGTGTCTCAGAGGGCATTTTGGAGCCCAACATAAGTAGTGGCCATATTGGAAAGGTCGACCCAACATAACCTTCATTCAGCCTTGAGGCAAACCGAAGAGGTGAACTTAATTGAGAACCTTAAGCCTCCCTGAAAACAACAACAACAGGACTACCTGTCACGCCACGCTCATAGTTATGCAAATTAGGCCGGTCCGTGCATACAAACCTCTCATCCCCCACCGTACAGCGTGATGAATGAAGAAACGAACTGTTCAGACCAAAGCTCTGTTGAAACAGGCTGTAAACATGTTCAATTTTACTATAATAATGAAAACCGTATTATGATGAAGATGGGCTTTGGACACTCAAGAACTGCCTTTTTTTATTTCTATTTCAATTGACCACTGGCTTCAGTCCTCTATGAATAAATCCCCTCATAAATTAACAGCCTTCCCCTCCTGACCACACTTGAATATGTGATTCCTCATACAAGACACCGGTCACAAAAGGGTTTCTGCTTGTGAACAACAAACACAAAATGAATAATTCCCCTTGTGCACAATTCTCCTCACCTGATAGCATGCAGTGTTTCATATCCTTCCCCCATGTGTGGAAGAGGAGCATGCAGAAGGAATATTAATCACATGCAGCCCCTCACCATCCCTTACCCCCATTCTTCTAACTTTCTCCATCATTTCACGACCTTCCTTTCACTCACTCTTTTCACATTCACTTATCTCTGCCTGTTCATCATCCTGTTTCCCTCTATGCTCCAGCCAACCCCCATGTCAGGGAGAAAATAAGGTGGGGAGGTCTCGCTCTCTATGCAGCGACCAGGATGGTGTATCAGTCAGAATACAGGAAGGATGAGGAGATGATATCCACATCTAGGCCAGCTGCATTTATTTCTGTCTTTGCACAGGTGAGTTATATATTACAAGATATTACATATGAGTGTTATGTCATTTACTCTTTTCCATTTCCCTCTTAAATTCAGTCAAAATTGAAAACTAAAATCTGGAACTTTAAAACTAGATAGATGGATGGATGGATGGATGGATGGATAGAATGCAGATAAATACTTAAGATAATTACAAATGGGGCCCAGTCGACATGAGAGTAAAAAGCATTGGTGCTACTGTAGATGCCAACAGACTACCAGCAAACACAATGTTTGCAGGACTAGGATAAAGTGACATAGTCCAGGACCCGAGGTCAACAGTTTAGTGGCGCTACAACACACAGCAGGTCCCGTTTGACAAGAAACACTTTTGTTACAGACACTTGGCTTACTTTGTTAAAGCGGTTTACCTGTCCAGCAGAAAGGTTACAGGGTCCGTAAGATCTCGAAGCGTCCCCTATCTTTTTATGTTGACCCGGCTTTTTAGCTCCTGTTCATCTACCTCCTTTATAAGCGCCTGTTATTCTGCCAGAGTCTCCAGTATTTACTTCGTTTTCTGGTTTGTGTCGGCAGTCATGGCCAGAAGAGGATTCAGACATTTTTCTGTACTTTCTGGTTGGTTTCTACTGTCCGATATTGTAGCACGATAACTTTGTTTGGGCTTGTGAACGACACGGGGGAGCAGCAGCGTCTGCCTCACAACCAATCAGGATGGGGGAGGTGGAGAATGGCTTTATCTACAGTCAGAAAGAGCGGGCTGCTCATAAATTTAAAATGTTGACTACACAGACATAACAAAACACAGCGGTATCGTTATATTCCCAAATGTCATCAATAACTAATAGCTTTTGACTGATATTAAAAGCTTTTTTGTATATACACCAAAAAAAAAAGATGCTTCCTTAACGGAATCCTGCCTATTCCACCTTTAACAGTAAGGAAGAGAACAGCATATATGGAGGATGGGCGCCCAATGCACCCAATCTGAAGTGGAAGCAACATCATGTTTCACGGTAGAGGAAAAAGGGGAATTGTTGCACTGGAAGAAAAGATATATCTTTTTACTGTGGGGCCAAGGTTTGAAGGAAAAGTGGATTGTTCTTAGAAAGCCTGTCAGTACAGGAGAGGTTATGCATCATCCTGAGGCACGTGCAGTCCTTCATCTATGCAGGGATCCAGTCCTGGCTGAGCAGAATACAGCAATGCATACAGATCGTTTTTTGCTTTGCTCAAACTGAAAAACCAAGACAAAAACAACAACAACAGCAGAGCAGAAGATGAAGTCATATGAAAAGGGCAGCTCAGGGTGCATAACATCACGTGCATGTTCGCACAGGTGGAGGAAAACAGATCTGAGCAGGATGGAGAGACAGTTGAACCACTGACTTACTTTCTGACTGGCAGGTGGGAAGTGGAGGGCTGGACACTGGAGACGGCTTTAATCTTTCAGAGGCCATCCCACTGTGGAGCGCACCAGTGGCCTCTATGTGGTTCTCACGACTCCAGCCCACTCAGATTCTCGGATTAGAAACGCTCACAAAATGCCCAGAGGTATGGAGAATACACACATGCTTGTTGACCTGCCTACACACTCGCAGCTTTTTCACTGCCACCTTTTGACAACCACAACAACAGCAGCATACCTATACCCACTGCTACACCATGAACTATTGATTTAGCTTTTGAGTAGATCTGATATGTTAATGTATAAAGTATCTCAGAGGCTGTTGTGCAACTGAGATGAAAAGTCTGACTCACCCATGGCTGTTTAAAGTCAGTGCAGTAAACTTGAAGTACCCTCTACAGTTTGATGGATTTATACATTCTGGCTGAATATTATGCTGCACATGGAGGAATAATGCACATGAGTTATTTTGGAATAGTGTTAAAGCAGAAAATGGAGCCTGAAAACTCATGCTCTGCACTCAGTCCTGTATGCAACATATTAAAACATCCACTGCCGTCACACGCTCCAGTTTACAGGTACATTAATCACGCAAAACACAGTGACAGTCGCATGAATGCACATAAAGGGGACCGGAATTATTCATACCTTTACAGCACAGTGATGAATTTTCGCTCATTAAAGTTTGCTGATTGCAATCACTCACCATGTAATTTGAAATAAGTCACTCTGAGCTCCTTCAGCTAAAAAAAAACAACATGTTTGTTGTAGATGAAATGTGAAAGAAAAAAAAAAGGTTAAATGTTGCTCTGCATGCTAAAGAGCTCATGTGACTTCAAGCAGCAGATGCACCACAGGAGGGGTGGGCTTGCAGACTAGGAAGGACATCCACTCAGTTCAAATAGGACATGTGCATTTTAATACTATTGTACCTTATGCAGCACGTATACTGTCGTCAACAAAGATTGAAACAGCTGATCTTGTCCTAGAGTGTAGATTCTCCAACAAAGAGGTCCGGCACAGTTGTCTGCGTAGCTAATTATTTACATCTGAAAGAATCTGCTGTTGACATTTTCATCTACTAGTCCTTGAAATCAAAAGCCCGTCAGTCTTGAAGGTGAAAGCTTTTTTCACTACGGGAGATTGAATGCTAATACGAAGGCAAAGAAAGTGTGCTGTCAGTCATATAGGGTCCATGTGAGTTCATCCTCCTCATACATGTATGCAGGCTCAAGGATGAGTCAACCTGATGACAGTGATTTCCCCACAGTGATGAAACTCTCTGCTATAACTTGCACTTATCGTAGTGAAAGAAAGCGTGGAGCTTTTTTTGTTGATGCGAACAAATCCATCAAATTTCTGTGACATTATCATATAAATGGAAAGTGCAAAACAATGCTACCATGCTTATTCTTCTCCCTCTTCCTCTGTGGCCTCACTCTGTCTCTCTCAGTCGCCACCACTGTTTACAATGCCTGCTGCAGTCATCACTTGCCATGGCAACCCAGTACCAGCCTGATAAATGGGATGATGAAGTCAAGCACAGTTCATACAGAAAAAGACTCTTAAAATTCGCAATAGAAAACTATTTTTTCAGCATAGCATTGCAAGTATAGAGTAATAAAATGGCCGTTATAAAGTCCAGATAATGAAAATAAGATCTGGATTAGGCCTCGCAGTGAAATCAGGACTGAAAGTGGGCAGGTGTGATTCAATGATGTGCTTTAGATAAAGACCCACTCCGATGAAAATCATGTTTTTCTTGTTATGGCATTTTTCTGATGCTACAGGACATATAATGAGAAAAATAAGTGTGAAATTGCATTTCTGAGTATTTCTGCATGTAACAGTCTGCTCTGCCCCTCTCCTGCTCTGCTGCTCAGCCACACCCCTCATCAGCTAACTGCTTCCACCTGCTGCTCTCACCTGCTCATCATCTCCAATCAGGCCAGTATATATGCAGCTTCTTTCCCCTCACTCTTTGCCAGATTGTCTTCGCTCTCATGCCTGACTCTCCAGCGTTAATTCCCGGACTGCTTACCTGGTATCGACCTGATCTGCCCCTGACCTTTGCTTCTCGCCTCAGCCCCGGTAAACCTACCTGCCTTCTGTCCTTGACTACGAGCTTTGCCTGCCTGTTTCCTGCTATTCGTCTGCCTGCGGCTGAATGGCACTCAGCCTGTTCCTGCTCTGTTGAGATCCCCCTTCTCGTCAGCTTCACCTCGCCAACTCACCTCCTCTGCCGACGTTGGTTCTGCCAGCTCCTCTGCAAGCTCTGGATCCTCACCCAGTCCTCACCTGAACCACTCTCCAAGAAATCTTCCTCCAGCTGTGAGTTGAGCGTTTTCCCCTTCACTACACTCGTGGAGCAGATTAAGACTGTGGACAATTCCCTGCTCACGAGTCCAAAACTCTTGCCTGACCTGTGGTCCACTGCTAATCTGCTCGCCTATCACCCTTGTTTGTGCTGCAATTGGGTCCAGTCAATACCAGTTACACTGCATTTAAATCGCTGTGAATCTCTGGCAGACCCAAACGACAGGTTCAGATACAGTGAGATTTCCTTCATGGCAAATCTAAGCTCCACCCCCGGAGCGCCGCTATGCAGGCCACACTCAGAGAAATAGAGAAGACAATCGCGGAACAAGCGTGTGTGTTAGCAAATTGCATATCTCGTAAGAAAGCTAATTATGAAATTTGCTTTCATCATGTCCCTAAAGACGTAAGTGTCCAAGAGTTGAATAGCTCCTATGTTACCTGTTACTTCTACTAAACATGCAATGTTAGGCTACAAGCTAACACCTCAAGACTCAAAGTCGAATTGCTATTGAGCTACTGGAGCTCTGCAGAAGAAAAGACCTTGAAAATGACACGAGGTAACGTGATTTTTGGCTGAAAACTTCATAATAAAATGGAATAAAATAATAAAACTTTAAAGAGTCGAGACTGGGAGGGGGGTCGAGCTGCTGCCTGCCAAAATCCACACTCAAAACCATTCATTCAAAGCAAGGAAACACACCAGCTTAAGCTATCCTTATCTTTGTCTCCTACACGTTTCCTAATTTGCGTCTGAAATATTCATGCTATGTTTTCAACTGAAGCGCAACTGCTTCCATAACTGGTGATTTATGTGACATGACGTTCCTCCAACACACTGAGTCTGACTTATATCCATTTTTTATGGCTATGTATGCACATCTGTACATTTATGCATATTCCACTCACAAAAACTACAGGATTAATGATCATGAAATCAGGGTGATTACATCTAGAAAATCCCATGATACTCTTTAGTGCCAATTATGAATGATAGCTTATTGAAATTGGTGCCATTTGCGAGGCTGTTTATCCTCAGTTTTGTTTGTGGGGTTCATTCAGGTTCAAAGTTTTCGTGACCTGTCGTCGTGCCACTTCAGGGGTCTTGGCAGTCAAGGAGACGGAGGAGTCAAAGTAAATCTAATTTTGTGTCTCTGTGAAAACAGCTAAGCAGGTTTGACTTGCATGCCCTCTTAGCCGTGGTTATCCTCTCAGCTGCCATAGGAACAACTGAATAAATGAGTCTGAAGGCAACAGTTTGGTGTCGGTCCATTTTCTGCTGCTTGTACTTGTGTAAAACATTGATTTCAAGGTGAAGTCTTTGTGACCCTACCAATTGGTGAACACTTTGATTTAGTACCCTGTTGCCCTCCACCATTTTCCCTATAACAATTAACCTGCTACAGAGTGGCCATATGACTAATAGAAAAACAGAGTCAGGTAATACAAAACAGTCACACAAACACTTTCCCTTTCAGTTTGCATGTCTTTTTACATCAATCATACATGAATATTATCACTCTAACCCTGGATGCTATGTTTTGTGTGTTTAGAAGAAAGGCGGGCCTGTCAGGGACAATATTTATTGTGTACGATGTGCGGTGCTCATGTCTCAGACGTCGTCTCTAAGGCTTAATGTAAACGTGTATGTACGTTGCTTCACCGTTTAGTGACACTCCTGAAACACAGCTCGTAGAAACAAGGGGGGAAGTGGTGATTTAAAAGATAAAATCATACAAAAATATCTACAAATGGAAGAGTAAGATTTCTCTCTCTCTATCTATCTATCTATCTATCTATCTTGTCTACATGTTAATATGGCATTTTTCTGATGCTAGAGAACATATGAGAAAAATAAGTGCAAACTTACATTTCTGAGTATTTCGCTGTGGTTCTCTAACAAACCCAAACGACAGGTTCAACTACAGTGAGATTTCCTATGTCACAAATCCAAGCTCCGCCCCCCAGCTCCACTATGCAGGCCACACTTGGAGAAATAAAGAGGACGATCGCAGAATAAGCGTGTGCATTGGCGGATTGCAATGTTCATAGGACAGCTAATTATGATGTTAGCTTTCATCATGCCCAGAAATACATTAGCTTCCAGGAGCTGAATAACTCCAATGTTACCTGCTACTTCTACTACACCGGCGATGTTAGGCTGCAAGCTTGCGTGAAGAGGAGTGTGCAGAGCAGTGCTGTCTCCGCCAACGACTCAGAGGTGAATTACTAATGAGCTACTGGAGCTCTGCAGAAGAAAAACACTTGAAAATGACACAGGTAACATGATATTGGCTAAAAACTTCATAATCACAATTTAAAAACCACTGATAACACTTTAAATTGTTTTTTAAAAAATGATCGGAGCAGGACTTTAAAGATTTAAAGTAAGTGCCCCCTTACCCTAATCATAACACCTTCTGCCCTTACCTCAACCCTAACATACCTGATTGGATCCTGAATATCAAGTTATCAATTAGTGCCCAGAGCTTCTGTGTAAAAGTTGTTTGGGCTGCAGTTCTTGTGTTTTCACCCAGGAGACTAGCAGGCATTCATTCGTTGCAGAAAGGATGAGAAACTCTGGTATTGGAAATCTCTTTTTATTATTTCAACCTTTTATTTCCAAACCATTTTTTTCCCCAACAAATGACTGCGGCCCTTTAAAAACGGCTTTTCAACTAAAAAGAAGCGCTCTGGGTCATTCCAGTCCAGATCCTTAATCTATGTTTTGTCTGCTTTGCTGATGTTTTGTCACCTTTCCTCGAACCACACCAGTTTTCAGTTGTTTGTCTCTGCTAGGGTCCATTTCCTGATTTCTAGGCTACACCATCTGTGTTAAGACCTGTGTCCAGCTGTTGTTTGTGTTTCCCCTTTTCCAAGAAATACTTATTATGCTTGTGCTCCTCTTCTGACTTGGAAGGTTACGTACATCCAACCCTAATGCCAAATGCCATACCAAGGTTATGAAGCTGTTCGAAGGGGCTTAATGTTGCAAAAATGTAATACAATCACCTATATCTTTGCCTCTAAGCTACACCTGAAGGCTTCAGCAATCTTTCCCCATCAGTTTGTACATCCTCGAGTCAATCATCAGGCTATAATTTCCAATATTTAACAAAAAAACACTGGTTGTGTGTATATATTTGTGTGCATTTGTGTCCATGCATGTGTGTTGCTGATGATTTGTGGTATATGAATCCATCTGGACTGCTCTGCAGGGCACCTGTGGAAATAAGAGGACTCATTGATCGTGTCCTGGAGATTTGTCTTCGATGAGAGGTCAGAATAACCTCAGGCCTCTTCGGCTTCATTTACCCCGCTGTGGCAAACTCTCATCATGGGCTTTTATCTGTTTTTTTTTCCTTTTTCCATTTTTGTGTTATTCAGAGGGTTATCCTGACATTATTACTTTTCTTTTTCTCTGCCGGAGTATGACAGCCATGACATTTAACTACAACTCCATTTTGACCTGATGTTATATTCACAGAGCAACAAATCTACATCCGACCCAGATTTTTTTGTTTTTCTTAAACCTTTTGTGAACTGACACAAAGCCTCAGGGATCAGTAAGAATGGGTCCACAGATACCTCCAAACATGGAAACATATATCTATAATATCACTATATTAGATATCAATAATCACTCAGTAACAGCGGTATAATAAATAATGTGCTCTGATTGTATAAAACAGGAAAGGATCATTCACAAGCTCTCAGTAATTTCAATGAAGGGAATCATACTCTATAAATATTGGTGTTCAAATGCTCATCAATATATAATTAAGGCACAAAATTACCCACTTAGTTCTTGCAGTTGTTAACCCTTCCATGTCTTTTTCAGCACCACATAGTCAAGCTACTGCTGCTGCTCTAGGGGGAAAAAGTGTCACCTCTTCAGTCTTAAGGGGCACATTTATTTTAAAAAGACTCCAAATGGCTCTGTTGACAAGTTAAAAGTAATGTGCACTTCATGTCAAACAGAAATGAATTCCAGTGGAGCGCTTTAAGCTTCAGCTACCGCCCACAAGCTTAGCCCACAGGTAATCAAACCGATATAAGTGGGCGTCTGCACCCCAAGAGCTGGCCTTGTGCTGTTTGTGGTGGTTGCAGATCATCTCAGACCTGTGGATGAAACAAAACCGAATTAGTTAACACTGCTTGTTTGACGACAGGGTAGCGCGTTATCAGGGACCCTTAAAATGCTTTACAGTGGATACATCATTCATTCGCTCACACAGTCACACTTCAGTGGTGGTAAACTACCTTAGTAGTCACAGCTGTCCTAAGGTAGACTGACGGAAACGTGGCTGCCAAGGTTGGTTAAGTGTCTCGCCCAAGGACACAACGGACAGACTTGGGATGGGGAGGAGTCAAACCGCCAACCTTCTGGTTATCGGACGACCGCTCTACCTCCTGAGCTACTGCCGCCCCGATTTGTTGTAATATGTTAATGCATAGAGAAAGCAGCTTGACTGGGACACTTGGCAGAAGTTCAATTTAAACCAAGGTCACAGCATAGCAGCTACAGCGCCATCTTCTTTCCATCTGTTATGTTGGCAGTAAATATCTGCTAACATAATACATGCTTCAACGTATCACTGAATCCATTAGAAGCAAAGTCATAGAGATTGACTGTGGGGTGATATGCATTCACATCCCAGCGCTGCGAGTGTCCTGGTCTGAATGGCGTGTTTTCTCTGTGGTTGGGTGACAAATTTGTGGCTGTGACTCATGAACTGTCAGAGGATGTAAAAGTGATTCAGATTCATCACACTGCTCAATGGCCTATTTAGATGCATGTGGAGATTCATCCACAGGAACAATATAGGAGGCGATTGTTGTGATACGACGTGACAGATTTGGTACATTTCGAGTCTACTTCTCTATTTCTCTGAAAAATAAGAGTGAATGGAATTAGACAATGTTTACATGAAAACACTAAACAGAAGCACATTAAGTGCTGAGAACAAAAGCAGGTTTGTTGATGTGGGAGTTAAATATGTGTTTGTGGGTGCTTGTGGGCTTATTTGTGTCTGTGTGTTTGTGTGTTTACAAGTGCACGCACAGGCTGTGTGGTTTGGCTGTCTCCTGCATCAGACACAATTCTGCTGACTTTTTTCAAATGCAGGGTGTGTTCAGATAAAAGTGACCCTAAAACGCATTCTTAGTCTTTTTTAATTTACCTCACATGGCTTTAGGGGATTTGCAGGTTTCTTAAGCGGATATTTAAGAAATCAGGAAGAGAATCATTGAGTGTAAAAGATAAAAACACAAACTTGAAACACATCCTCTCATAGTTTAAAAGATTTACATGAATCATATGTGGAATCTGTGAGAGACAGCGGCTCAAAGAAACAGTTTCACGGATTAGAAAAATCAGATTTCTAATTCTGAAGCAACAAATCAAGAATTCCGCTTATTTTCTCTTAATGGATCTCAAGTCACTTTTTACCCTAATAACAAATCTACGACAGTAGCCGTGTTAACATGTGCAAAATTTCTTGATCAGATAAAAAAAGAAGAGTTGTATTTACACCTGTGCTGTCAACAAACCAAGCGGTAGTGTCTAACTTCATTCAATTCAGGAGCTTTCCCCCGATTAAATGTTGTCACTAGATGGCGCCCTTACTTACTTATTTTACTGTTCTGTTAAAGCTTGCACTGTGCGTGCAGATGCGACATCATCACGCTGTTTGTACACCTTGTTATGTTATCGGAGGAGCGGACACGGTTCCTGAGGTTGTTTTTTATGCCAGAGTGTTAATAATGAAACCTCCTGAACTGACCTCAATAAATAAACCAAAGACTAAAGAGTGAAGACCGAGTCAGGTAGGAGAGTCACGATCGGAATAAGTGTTTACATGGACGCGTTTCGGAATAACGATCGACATAAATCACCCCTCTTGATCGGAATACAAATTCTTTCTGATTGAGCCGAATTGGATAAGAATCTTCTGATCGACATGATTACATGACACATTTTTGTACTGATCGGGCGTTTATTCCGATTATTTGTGCCCATGTAAACACAGCTAATGACTTTCTTACGCCTTCAATTTAAGGTGTTTTAGTACATGAATCAAGGACTCAAACATGAGCAGACATCTGTCCAGGATGTTAGTAATTAAGTATCAAAGTTAGACTTCTTGGATCATTGAATGTTGCTTGCATCTTGAGTGATTACACCAAAAATTTCAAGTTGTTTGAGCAGTGAAAACTCTTTCAATCCTCTCACAACAAAACCTCTTTGTGTGTGTCTCCTCTAAGGAGGGAGAGGGAGGTGTTGTGCATTACCATACAACCCACAGCTCTGCATCTTCATTGACAGTTTAAGTCCCCAGACACGCCTAAGGGATCAGTCAGAATATTACATTAATTAAAGCTGCAAGGACATTGACTACTCTCAAAGGCACGTGCGTCTTCTCGTTGCAGGTTGGTGAGTGAAGCAGCTGCAGAGCTTGTTGCTGCTTTGTTGTCATCATCATAAGAAGAATTCCGATTTTGGATGTTTTGAATTCAACAGGAAACTAAATCTCTCTTTAGTCCTCGGTTCTTGGTCACATTAAAAGTGTTTCTGAGGTTGGCCATGTTCAGCCGAGGCTCTCAGTGCTGCTTGGAGGAGAGAGAGAGAAGGGAAATCAGGGGAGTGACATGTGAGAAACACAAGAGCAGCCTTCACAGAGGCTATACAGCTGACACACAATCATTTACTGATTGGACGCTGCAGTGTGTCAGCCTCTACAGAAACACATCAACACTACCAGAGAAGAGACAGGCCTTAAAATAGACATAAAGGGGTTCCCTGAAACAGACCAGAAAGCTTTTTTAGTTTCTAAACAGTTCATGTGTGATGATTAAAAACAAACAACAGTGTGCCAAAAGGGACAAAACAGTAGGAGATTAAAAAAGGAAATATTCAGTATATTATATGTCAGTTTCAGACCTCAATCGCATTGTAATAACTAGAAAAGCACTCGGAGAGTGCAGACCTCCGCCAAGCAGCTCACAGTATCCGGAATTTTGTCTGGATCAGGATCAACCTTTGACACCTCATAAAACTCATTGAGATCCTTTTGTGTAATGTTTTACTAAAGACTCTGGACATTTTTATAGAGTTAAATGCAAAAATTCCAAAATTCGCCCTATTTCACAATGATAAAGAATCCTTCAAAAGATTCCTCGATCCAGAAGGCGATCCGGATCACCACCAAAATGTAATGGGATCCTCCTGGGGCTGAGACGCACCTCTGGTGAAAATTTCAGGTCAATCTGTCTGTTACTTTCTCTGTAAAGTTGCTAACAGACAAACAAACAAACAAACAAACAAACAAACAAGCAAACCAACGCTACCAAAAACATAACCTCCTTGGCGGAGGTAATAAAAGCTGTTTCACACTGGTATCCATTTGGTATTAATCGTTGAAAATCTCCAACCTTTTTTTTCCTGCACCGAGAAATACCTCTGTATTTTCACGCTGAATCAGTTATGTCATCTCAGGTAGTGTTGATTTCCTTTTTAGGTGGCTTACTCTTCAAAAGGAACCCTCTGCTTGTCTGTCTTTCTCCATAATTGGGAACACACCAGACAAGCTCCATTTCTCCTTTCAGCTCCTACACCCCCAGACACTTTAAAATCATCCATAGCTCTCAGAACAAAACAAGACCAGCACTCATGTCGAAATGATCCAGCAGTCTCTTTAAAACAGAGGAATCACTGCGCTCTCCAAGCTTCCAGGTAATAACCAGAAGAATAATGAGGGTGTTTCAGAGGAAAAAGGTGTGAGGAGAAACTACAACAGAAAATCAAGTGTTGGCAGAAGCTTATTAATAAGTTAATTAATTTGATGATACATGATGCTATCACTCCTCAGGACAGTCATGTAAGAAATCAGTTTTGTTTTTTAGATTATTGTCTCAGGTAAATAGATAAAGGTAAAACTTTATCCTACATGTATAAAACCC